AAAAAAAATCTCTTAGAGCATCACCATGGGGGATGTACTCCGTGGGTGTACTCGTTTGAGATTTCTAAAGACTTTTAAGATATGAGGTATTCATTTAATATTTTAATAAGTCTCACAAAATTCTGAATTATTCAACTTATTTGAGACTTTTATTAAGATTTATTGAGATTTCAAAAGAAAAAAACCATATACAAAATCTTACTCCAAAACCCCCCACCTTCAAACTTAAGTTTTTATAGTATTCCTTCAAACTCTGAAAATCTGAAAAAAGTCCGAAGTCTCGTAAAGTCTCAAAATCACTCGAAATCCCAAACCAATAAGATTTGGATCATTGTTTATAAGACACACACATAATTTTAGTCTTGTAATATGAAGATTTGGATTGCATCAAAATACACAAAATTGAACACACATCTCAAGTGTGCAATTAAAGTTCAAAACTACAAATACTTACCCAAAAGAAAAAATAAAATAAAATAAAATCAAAACTTTACATAATTAAGAAAATTTGTGATGCTTTTAGATACATGCTCACTTGGGAGATAACCATTATGATTTTCCAGGACTTAAAGAATCTGAGGAAACAACTTTACTCGGCTGCAGATCGTTTCGAATCATCCTACAACAAAACCGATCACAACCAAATGTACGCCATTTTCTATTTATAGAAAGTTACTCGATCCTATTCCCAAATACGTGCTCTTCTTTTTGTTAAAACTTAAAATGAGTATATATTTAGCTATAATGTGTGTTCATTCATGCTTGTTACACACAGTGTGATTCAACTGTCGAAAGATTACATTGCTAAAGCTCTCGTGAGTACCGTGGATCACTTGGGCTCGGTGGCTGATAAACTCAACAAGTCGTTGAATGAAAGGGCCAGCGAATTTTGTTCAGCCAATGCACAACTTGCTTTCATCGAGCAGGTACATATTAAACCCGTCTCGTTTTCAAGATCATCTTTAACTTCTGTATTCTATCAAGAAGAAAGAAAAGAATAATAATTATAGAGACTAAAGAAAAATGTTTGAACCATAGAGATTAAGCGTGTTTCAAGAATTCATCGGCTCGGATGCCTTTTCACGACAATCGTTAATGATGGAAAATGTCGGCCACCAAAAGCACTACGCTCTTCAAGGCAAGTTACGGACTATAATAAACATTTAATCTGCTATAACAAAAAAAAAAAAAAAACGAGCAATATGCAGTTTTAGTTAAAAAATTCTACCGAGGTTTTTTCAAGGGAACAATTTTTAAGGCAAAAATGCATTTTTAGTTATGTTTATTTGACGTCATAGCAATTTTAGTGCAAAGGTTTCAACTTTTTGCTTTTTTAGTCCTGTGATTTAATATTTTGCTGCAATTTCAATCCTCAAATGATTGAAACTACAAAATTTTAAATTGACTGAAATTGGAACAAAAATTTAGATTATAGAACTTAAATTGCTAATAAAAAATCTATAAATTTGGGTTTGTTGCAATTTTGAGGACTGAAATTGCAGCAAAATATTCAATCACAGAATCAAAAGGCAAAATGTTAGAATCTTAGAACTAAAATTGCTATGACGTTAAACCAGCACAACTAAAAATGCAATTTCGCCTAAATTTTACCACTGTAAATTGCCAGACAAAGACTCTCTAAAGGTCTGTGAAGTAAGTGAAGACAAGTCATTTTCTGAAGAGTTTCAAGGAGCAAGAAAGAAGCCATTGTTGAGGTGTGTAATTTGTAATAAATGCTTCTTTATTTTTTCTCAAAATTTTCATCATAAACTTTGAATATCAAACAGTAGTTTTTTTATTTTTTATTTTTTTATTTTTTTTCTAATGCAGAAAACAACAGTCAAAGATGATGCCCTCGAGAGAACAATCACCGAATCCTCTTAGTTTTTCGTTCACAAAAGTAGTACCAAACAAGGAAGCAGGTTCGTCTAAATTGGCTCAAGCACACACACAAAAAAGGGACTATTTTTATATGTATCGTGAAGAAAAACAAGCTAACCTCAAACAAACTGTTAAATGCTCCAACAGAGAATAGATTCTTGAAAATATAGCTTGTTTTTCGTTCTTCACTAACAAACCACTCGTCCATTTGTTCTTTCCTTTTTATTACCGAAGACAAAACCGGGAGGCGCTCGATTTCACCATTTCGCTTAATCCTGCGCAATCGGTCAGCTTCCGACACCAAAAGATCAGTTTCCCCAAATCTGATCAGTAGACCGAGGGTAAGCAATAAATACATGCATGATAATGAAAAAAAGAAAAGAAAAAAGAACAAGAAAAAAGGTTACAAAACAATCTGTTGTAATTTGTACGTATATATGTCTGAAAGATAGAGTTCACCCCACCAATTTTATTTCTATTTTTTATTTTTCGATTGAGATTTTATACAACGACTGCATGCAGTGGCCATCAGAGCCAAGGAGGGCAGTTTCAGAATGTAGAAGACAACAAGAGACGAAAAACAGAGATAAAAAGGAGATCGAAACTTACACAACTTCGGCAAGCAAACAACTGTTCAAGGCCTTGATCAGCGTCCACCGATTGGGAAAAGAGATTTCACACGAAAGCATAGTAGAGTGATAGCAAACGACACAATCTGGGAATAATAAAGTCCGAGTCTCGACTTCTTATTTAGTCAGTCTCCTTCCTTAAGATCATAACCAGTATTGTTTTCTCATCATGTACTCGTTCGAAGTTAATAAGGATTGCTCGGTTCTTACAATAACAAACATCACTCACCTGCATCATTTAGATCATTGCTAGAAGCAGCTTTTCGAACGGAATTTGGGTTTGTAACACTGTTGAAAATGTTTGCTCTTTGTTATACTTTCAACTCTCAGTGCACAAAAGGCTGACTTACACAACATTGGCCAAGTACTTATACCGGAAAAGCTGTTTGCATCAGAATTCATACAATTATTATTCCAACCGTCCAAACAACATTAGCAGGCAATTTCGAAGCTTTGCACTTACAATTTTGTCATATTGCCATAACGGCACAAATTTACGCTCATCAACCAGGACAGGAACCACGAAAAATAAAAAAAAACGAACAACCCCAATCACAATTTTCAACTTCGAAATGGCGATTTCTGGATGTAAGGGTTTGTAACTTCAAAAAAAAAATCTCCTGATAAGATACAATTTTGATTTTCAGCAGTCTAGTGCAAAAACTACTAAGCAACGCAAAATGGATAATCATCACATAAAAGTAAAAGGTGAAAAACTATCTCCTCTTCTTTCCACCCTTGCCGGATTTGGAAGCACCAGCTGCGGACGAGGCAGCCTCTTGCTTCTTGGTTCGGCCCCGATGTCGAGGCACCAACTCCGCAACATGAAGCATTAGTTGTTTTCCTATAAAACAAATTTAAGCCAATGAACGCCAGATATTTCACCAGGCAATGTAAATTACCAAGCACAAGAATCTCAAAGAAGAAAACTAAATTGCATGCTCAAAGGGACAACATCCATTAACTTATCAGAGTATTGTTTGCTATAAAATGCACAGAACAACGTATACCTCTCTTTAAGAACATGTAAAAGGGTCCAGTAACTATAGTATACAACAAGCTCGTGTAAAGGGGCAATCATGTAATTCTTATAAAACAAAGTGCAATCTTAGGCAGTAATTTTCCTAACTTACCTTAGGTAGTAGATACTAGATAGACACTTTTGGCCATCAATTTAAAGTTCGACATGCTCCAAACAGTAAAAAAAATATCAACAGAGCAATGTCGTGTAACTAAGAATGCACATCGCACAGATGAAGGTTTGACAGCTTCGGTATGGTCCTTCAAAAATATAATCAAATCACTTGAACAACAGCAAAACACGTAAATCCTTATAATGTTCTTGGATTTGACTACAAATGGAACACAGAGCAGATGCATGCTTTCTACTTCCTTCCACAAATATTGTCTATGGATTCTTTTGAATTGATAATATACAGTTATGGCCATCACCCAAAGGATTTGCAAATCCTCCACAGATATTTTATGCATCATTTAGGAGGAATCTAAACCCACTCAAGAAAAAACATTCATTTCATTCGGATTCTCTTTCCAAATCGACATCTTTCAATATTGGTAACCCGAAAAATCACACAAATCTACTCAATAAAACATCCCACATTGTATCAGAAACTCCATAAACTGATGCAATAAACAATGCAAACATGACATAACTGATAAAAACTCGAATATCAAACGACTTACTCGAAGAAACGGTAGGATTGCAGAGGCTCCCATCTTCCCTTTTTAACAGAACCCTAACTCTCCCCCTTTGCATAAAATCCCTGGGGTAAGCCTTCTCAGTCTAACACAAGATTTTTACATTCCCATTAAAACCAATACACAAATCAATGATTTTGACATACCCAGTGTCCAGAGATTGAATGATCGATCATAAAAAGTAAATCGAGATATACCTCAATCGCGCAGGGCAGCTTGAGGTTGACACAGCAATCGTAAATCTCAGTGCAGGTAGGGTTTTCGCATGCTTTTCCGGCATTGATCCGGCGACCCTCGGCAAGGGTTTTCTTCGAGTTAATGTAAATTGGGTAAAGGACTACCCATTTCTTGATATTCTGCAACTCCACATCCATTAACCTTCCCTTCGATCACCAAATTTGATGCAGGACGTGAACAAGAACAGGAATATTCGAGGTACTCTGTCTTGAAGAACTCCTATAAAACTCAAATTCATTAACAATAGGAATACGAGTAGACATGGCCACGGGCGGCCCGGCCCGTGGCCCGTGACCCGGTAACGGCCCGGCCCGGCCCGGTACCTGTACCGGCATGAATAGTGCCGGGTTCGAGAACCGGACCGCGGCCAATCCGGTCCGGTTAAGGGTCCCGGTTTTTTTTTTTTTTTTTGTCCTGGCGGGCCGGGCCGGGCCGGGTCAATTTTTTTGATTTTTTTAAGGGCCGTGAACCGCCGGGCCGGTGAACCGTCGGTTCGGGCCGGTTCTATGAACCGGCCCTTCGTTCCTAGCGGGCCGGTTGCGGTTCGGCGGTTTGAGGGCCCGTGACCCGGCACCTGACCACGTCTAACGAGGAGAATACATAAATATTAAATATATATGGGGGTGATTGTTTATGAATTTACCTGGTTTTAAATTGGTATGTTTTTAACTATAGTCAAGTTTGAAAAAAGTTGGTATGATTAGTTGGTAGTGGATAGATTAAAATAAAATAATTAAAATTGATATGATAAAAAGTAAGAGAAAAATGATTGAAAGTGATTGTTAGTTAAAATTATATGAGTGGATGAATAGTGAATTAAAGTTGATGTGATGTGTAAGAATGATTAGTTGATTTTATTTAATTGTATTAATAATATTAGAGATAGTGGGGTTGGTTAAAGTTGAGTTAAATTTAAGTTTTGATTAGTTTTTTTTTTTTTTTTT